TTTTGTTTTCTGTTGAGCCAGTTTTGCTTCTGAGAGCAGCTCTACTTTTGGATAACTTAGTCTTACCTTACCTATTTTAATTCACGCCTGTAAGGTAAGTCCCATATGAGAAGTTTGAGCTACCGTCTCTCACTCTTAATACTCACAAGTGTTTAGCGTTAGCTTTCAAGTTGGATCAAAATGTTTCCTGCTGCTGAAAAGAGAGGTGTTTAGGTGAATTTATGTGCAGTGGCCACTCTTTGGTAGTAATCTTACTGAACAAGCATCCCTCTTGTACCTTTCCAGAGAATTAAGTTTACCACGAAAGCCATTAATTTCTTGTCTCTTTTAAAAACTTTCATTCCGTGCCCCCATCCCGTTACGACTACATTACATAGTTCTATGATGTTTATGGTGATCGATTTTATATGACAACTTGAGTGGGCCACGTGGTGCGCAGATGTTTGATCAAACATTATTTTGTGTGTTTCTTTGAGGGTGTTTTGGATGAGCTTAGCGTTTGGATTGATCGACTGTATAAAGAAGATTGCCTTCCATAAAGAAGATTGCCTTCCCTAATGTGGGTGGGCCTTATCCAATCAGCTGAAGGCCTCAGTTCAACAAAAAGACTGACCTTGAGAGAGAGAATTCTTCCTGATTTTGGATTGGGACATTAGTCTTTTCTTGCCTTTGGAAACTGAAACATCATCTCTTTCTGAATCTTGAACCTGCCAGTCTTTCAACTAGTATGACAACATTGGCTTTCCTGGGTCTCAAACTCAGACTGGAACTGAAGTTTTGGCTCCCCGGAGTCTCCATCTTGCTGACTCATCCTCCAAATCTTGGAAGTTTTCAGCTTCCATAATCACGTGAAGCAGTTTCTTACAATCAATCTCTTTATGTGTATATACCTGCTTCATGTGCTTTCTTTTTGGAGAACCCTAGCAGAGGATGAACTGTTCAAGCCAAGTATATAATCTGTGCTTTCTGTGCCTAGTAGCCCACAATGTACCCCTGTCTTCTGCCGTCATTCCTTGAGCACTTTTAAGTACTTGCTTCTGAATACTTAACCTCCTGTGCCGAGAACTGTAGATTACAAAGAAATGAGGCACATTCTAAGACCACAGTCCAGTGTCAATAGTAGAGGAATGACTAGAAATAGTGTCTTTATGGAGTCCCACAAAAACTCTCATCTTGTAGGAAAGTTGTTTTCAGTGGGAAACAGCCATGTCTTGTGGTTTGCTGCGGTAGAGATGCCATTTTGGCTCGCCTTAGTAAAATATGGGCTGCTCTCTTTCCCCTGCATTCTATGATAGTATAGATACTGCCTGGGTTTGCATCTGTCTTCTTCAGTTTCTAGGTGTGTGACTTAGGGCAAATTAATGTTTGTACATTTTTTTTAATGTACAAAAGGAATAAAAATAGTACCTACATCATAACATTTTTATAAGATCACACAGAATAGTATTTGTAAAAGGTATAAAACAGTGCCTGCTACCTACCCTATTTCATCAAACCTAAGTTGCCATCAGTTGTGAGATACATTGCTATTTTGTGTATTTCTATGAAAGAAAAGCATTGCCAATTACAATGACCAGATGCTATCAGTTGTGAGACCTGAAATGTTAAAGTTATGAGAAAAACATTATGTCTTAAAAATCAATGAGATACCATAGTCAGTATTATGTAAGTGAAAATCCTAGACCACACAAGCTGATTTTTCAGACATGTAGGGGAAAAATCTGTTTGCATTTGTGGATTGTTATATAGCAGCAAAATCCTACACCGTCTATAATATTAATGAATGTCCCAATCACTTCTCAATTGTTCTTTTACTAAAATGCATTTATTTTATTTTCTTAATGGGGTTTAGTGCCACCTTCATGACTCCTCAGGGTCTTTGAATATCTAAGTCATGCAGGATGGCTGGTATATGGACTGAGTATTTGCTGCCCCCCACCCAATTCTTACTGTAAAGCACTAATTCCCAGATAAGACTATAAGTCTGTGAGGAGGAATTCAAGGTTAAATGAGGTCATCTGCAAGGGGCCCTAATCTGGAAGAGCTGGTGTTTTTATGAAGAAAAGGAGGGGACAGCAGAGCACTCTGTCCCTGCCATGTGAGGACATAGAGGGCACCCGGCTGTTGCAAGCTGCAAAGAACGCCCTCACCAGGAACTGAATTGGCCAGGAACTTGATTTGTTGTTTAAGCCACCTAGCCAGTGGTCCTTTGCTGTGGCAGCTGAGCAAACTGTGACAGTGGCCAGCAGGGAGGGGAAGGCACTGTTGGAGGACTGAGGATGACTCCATCCGGGGCCCCCACCACATGGCTAGTCATTCAGGGAACATTTGACCTAAAAAAGGTGCTTACTTGTTATTGGAAATTAGAGACAGGGTCTCCTCTTGAACTCTTCCCAGTTCTCGCTGTTCTGCTTACTCAGCACCAAAGGCGCACCCTACTTTCCTGACATTGTAATTACAATTTATTTTTATTTATTTTTTTACTAGTGTATCCAACTACGTGTGGAAATCAGCATTCTTGTTGTGTATATTTAATTAGGTTTATAGTTTTAATCACTTTATGCTTTCTTCTATAGTACATTGAAAACGTCCTCTCCGGATGGTGGTTTGATTCTCTGGGTACTATTTCTGCTTCTCTGTGTTTTACAAAGGAAACTTTGCGGGGCGCCTTGGTGGCTCAGTGGGTTAAAGCCTCTGCCTTCAGCTCAGGTCATGATCCCAGGGTCCCGGGTTCGAGCCCCGCATTGGGCTCTCTGCTCGGCGGGGAGCCTGCTCCTCCCCCACCCCCGCCTGCCTCTCTGCCTACTTGTGATCTCTGTCAAATAAATAAATAAAATCTTAAAAACAATGGGGCGCCTGGGTGGCTCAGTGGGTTGGGCCTCTGCTTTCGGCTCGGGTCATGATCCCAGGGTCCTGGGATCGAGTTCCGCGTTGGGCTCTCTGCTCTGCGGGGAGCCTGCTTCCACCTCTCTCTCTCTGCCTGCCTCTCTGCCTACTTGTGATCTCTGTCTGTTAAATAAATAAATAAAATATTTAAAAAAAATCTTAAAAACAACAACAACAAAAAACAAAGGACACTTTGCCTTAGTAATCATTCTTGCCAGTGATTGAATTTTTCTTCCACCCACAGTTAACAAAGGAAAAAGGCTAGAAGTTTTTCAGAATAATATAGAGGTTGTTGTGTGGAAGGGCTAGTTTTATCAATAACAAATATTCCATAATTCAGATCTTTCAACTATTTTTGTGATTTGAAGTACATACTCTGAACAACAGAAAGCAAGCAAAGCGTTAGCCCCTGGGAATCTTTGGGGAAACTTTTTTAATGAGGAGATGAGATTGCTTGTAATTCATGGAACAATTTATAGGTAAATAGCGTATGTGACAATTGAAGGTGCTTGAAGAGGTTGTCTTTTATTAATAAATTCTAAACATTGCCTCCACAACCTTGTTTACGTAGTTTTTACTGGAGCAAAGATAAGTCTCTCCAATCCTGTTACAGACAGATGATTATCTATCGCTGTGTAACAAAGTAGCCCAATTCGTAAAAGCTGAAAACAATCAACATATACAATTTGACATAGTCCCATCAGCGTTCAAGATCTGGGAGTGTCTTAGCTGGGTGGTCCTGCTTCAGGATTATCAGACTGCAGTTAAGCTGTTGGCTGGGGTTGGAGTCTTTGAAGACTTTGACTGGAGCCGTTAGACCTGCTGAGGGACATTCTACAAAATAACGGCCATGTATTCTTGACAGTTGTCAAGGTTAAGAAAGATTAAGGCCAAAAAATACTTTCTGATTAAAGAAGGCTAAAGAGATGTGACAACCGAATACAATGTAGGTCCCTGAGTTGGATCCTGCATAAGGGGAATAATGGCTAGGAAAGACGTTATTAGGACAACTGGCAAAACTGAGATCATGAAATAGCATCATGTAAATAACATCGTATCAGTGTCAAATATCTTAATTTTGGTAATTATGTAAGAGAATGCTTTTGTTTTTAGGAAATACCCACTGCGGTGTTAGTAAAGGGGCAGGGGTATCATGTCTGCAAGTTCCTCTCAAATGGCTCGGAAAGATGTGTGAAAGAGAGTGAATGACGCAACAAAGAGGGTCACGTGTTAACAATAGTGAATCTGGATAAAAGATCTTAGTCACTGCTGCTGTGACAAATGACCACAAATTTAGTGGCCTGTTTCTCTAGGTCAGAAGTCTGGCACAGTGTAGCTGGGTTTTCTGTTCAGAGTCTGACCTCTGGGTTAAAATCAAGGTGTCAGCAGGCCAGCATTCTTTTAAGAAAGCTCTGTGGAAGAATCTGCTTGTTGGCTGAACTCAGTTTCTTGTGGGTGTAGGACTGATGTCACCATTTCCTTGCCTTCTGACCCCCAGATCTTTAAGCCAGCAGTGGTGCTTGAATCCTCCTCATGTTTTCAATCTGACTCCCCCTCCTGCCCTCTCTGCTTTTAAGAGTTCAGGTTGAGCACGTTAGTGTACCTGGACAATCTAGGACAATTTCCTTCTGTTAAGATCAACCAGTTAGTAATTATTTTTATTTTATTTTATTTTTTATTTTATATTTTATTTGAGAGAGAGAGAGAAAGCATGCATGCACACGAGTAGGGAGAGAAAGGGAGAAGCAGACTCTCTGCTGAGCAGGGAGCCCAATGGGGGCTCAGTCCCAGACCCACCAGATCATGACCTGAGCCTCCCACGTGTCCCTAGCTAGTGATTTAAATTATATCCACAAAATCTCTTTGGCATGTAACATAATGCGTTTGATACCAGGGGTTGAAGGTCCTGGGGGCTGAATTTCTGTCCACCACAGGTTTCTAGAAATTTTTTGCACTATTCTTAACACCTTAATATATATTTGAAATGACATCAAAATAAAAAGTTACCAAGATTCTTAAGCATGGGGCAGGAAGCTGGAAAATGTCATGGTATCATTCACATACTTTGTAGCTTCATTTTTTGCTAACAGCAGTGGGTCTGTTTTATCCATCAGGTCACCACCAGATCAAGCAAGGGACCTGTGAGGTGGTCGCTGTCCACAGGTGCTGTAACAAGAACCGCATAGAAGAGCGATCACAAACAGTCAAGTGCTCCTGCTTCCCAGGGCAGGTTGCAGGTACAACTCGGGCTCAGCCTTCTTGCGTTGAAGGTAAGACCTTTCTGGTCAGGTTCTCTACTCTTGCAAAAGTACGTAAAACCACCACCAGCCTCCTTGCTTTCCCGTCTTCACAATGCAAGGAAAACTAGGCTGCTTGCAGGTTAGTTTTGCCCCAAAAGTGAATGTCATTGCAACTCCATACATTGCTTGGTGAATAAGGTAAGTTATTAATGATATTTCTCAAGCGTTCCCAATGGGGAGTTCTGTTACTAGACAATCAGGAAGATATGCTTTGATCTTTTTTTTCTTTCTTCCCCTCCTGTCTCTCCAAATTTTATCCATTGAAACTCTTGCTTCCGTAGATACACTTTTCTCCCTGATTTCAAGCTCTCAACTCAAAAGTGATTAGCTTTTGATTTTTTCCACACACTAATATTCTCTGAATTTCTAGTTTCCTTTTTTTTTTTTTTTAAAGATTTTATTTATTTATTTGACAGATCACAAGTAGGCAGAGAGGCAGGCAGAGAGAGACGGGAAAGCAGGCTCCCCGCTGAGCAGAGAGCCCAACGTGGGGCTCGGATCCCAGGACCCTGAGATCACGACCTGAGCAGAAGGCAGAGGACTAAGCCACCCAGGTGCCCCTAGTTTACTATTTTAACAAACATTCATAAAACATCTTCTTTGGAGCAACTTCCCTGAGAACAGTTTGGGATCACATGTCATTTATTTGTTGTTTCCAAGTTCCCTAGCAGAGTACTGTGCCAGTGGGTTTTAAAAAAGAAAAAAGAATGTTGACGGGTTGTAGGTCGAGGCCTGGGATTGATTCCTTTTGACGCCCCTGGCTTCTTGTAGTACACATCTTGTTAGAAACAAGTATCGGTCCCCCGGGGAAGAGATACATGAGGTGAAGGCCTGTAGCACTTTTCTCCTCAGTGGCATGAAAACTCCCTGAACATGAATGCTTCCCGTTTCACTTGATGAGTGTCTAAAAGTCAGCCACATTAGAATTTACATACGCATTCGTGACTTGAGAATCACACAATCAAGAATGATAGTTGACTGACCCATACCCGTCTCCCTGACCAAACACAGGCACAGATGTATGGTCTGTGTGGTCATAAAGTAGTGTGTATCACTGTGAAAACTGGGAAGTGACTATGGCCAACTTACCATCTACAGTTCCTCACAGAAACCCTGGGGGCCCAATGCGTTGCTGAATTCAGATTTTTTTAAAGGTAGCATAGTACAGACAGCATCTGTTCCCTCACAAACCCAATGTCTTTTCCAATTGTACCCCTGAGTCACAGGTGCTAATATTTCTATTCTACAATGAAGTACGTAGAATATTCTTGCAGAATGGGACAGGGCAAGAATTAGAAGCTCATGTTAAATCAAATCAGGTTTTGCCACCATTATACAGAAGTCCTGTACGTTTTCAGAGCTTTTTGGATTTGGGGATCACAGGTAAAGGATTGTGGATCTGTAAAAGAAGATGAAGATTTTTAACCTTAAAAAAAAAAGACGCTTGTTTTTTTAAAAGGTATTATTTATTTATTTGTCAGAGAGAGAAAGAAAGTGCACTCGTGCACACACAAGCAGGAGGAGGGGCAGAGAGAGAAGCAGGCTTCCCGCCGAGCAGGGAGCCTGATGGAGATCGATTCTAGGACTCTGGGGATCGTGACCTGAGCAGAAGGCAGACTCTTAACTGACTGAGCCACCCAGGGGTCCCAAAAAAAGACATTTCAAAGAAATTTGCTAAGTTCCTGTCTCTCCCACTGGTACAGTCAAGCATATTTATTTTCTCCATTAATTGAGCCCAAACCACACCAATTTTGTCTCCTCGGTCTGTCTCAGATTGTCTGTGCTGCCATCACCCGCAGTCTAGGGCTCCCATTATATTCTGCCAAGCTTGTCCTCCTGTCTCCCATTTTCTGTGCCGCAGCCTTCTACAAAAGCAGAAACTCATCGCGTCATTGCCGTATTTAAAACTGCCCTCCAATGACTTTCCACTGTCTTTAAAATAAAATCCAAGTTCTTTACCATGGCTGATGAAGCCTTGCGTAGTCTGACTCAGTCTCCCTCCTCTCTTTTAACTACACTACCCACGTCCAAGTGGGGGCATTTATGTTTCTTTTGATCTCCACACTCCTACCTATATCCTTTGCCTGAATCATTGCCTCCTTCCCCACAACACACATTTTATCTACTTGGTTCCTACTCCCCTTCCATATCTGCTATATGCTCTTGTATCCTTCTGCACTTCCAGTCCATTGCCATTATGTTTTAAGATCTTTCTGAGTGTGTGCCTTTCCATAGTCTGCAGGTTGCTTGAGGATGGGAACTGAGTCTCTTATACCTCCCTGCCCCCGCTCTTCCCCCTCCAACCCCCCAGATTGGCTGGTGCATGAATAACTTTGAGCACAGGGGAGAACTGATTCATTTTCAGAAATCACAGATAGTTTTCAAATTCATGATAACAACCGTGTTTGCTTACTCTGTGGGTTTTAAACTTCAAAAACTTATGAATTATGACATAAACTGTAAACTCTTATCCAGCATAGAATCTTTATTATTATTATTATTTTTTTAAGATTTTATTTATTTATTTGACAGAGAGAGAGGGTTCACAAGGAGGCAGAGAGGCAGGCTGAGCAGAGAGCCCGATGTGGGGCTTGATCCCAGGACTCTGAGATCATGACCTGAGCTGAAGGCAGAGGCTTAACCCACTGAGCCACCCAGGCGCCCCCCAGCATAGAATCTTTAGATATAAAAAACTACACATTTTATCTCAGAGCACTTTTATCCATATCTGGAAAGTATAGCTGGTACGCCAATTAAACTCACTATCTTAGTAAAGGAAATATTAAGACCATATCCTCCAGTAGCTTGTTTTAATTTTTATATGCATGTATTATATGGGCCAGATCCCCTTTGGGCACCACAGTAAGAATAACTACAAATCTGTTAGGTCAGTACTTTTATTGTTGTTGTTGTGTATTTGTGTATTCAAGGTAGGTCTCTAGAATATGTGGTACATTTGGTATGACTGTGTTTAACCCAAATGGTATCACATTGTATATTTCTTAATCCAACATGTTACCAATATAAGTTGTAGAGATCGTTGTGTGCTAGTACACGTTTACCTATTGCGTTTTTTTTTTTCAATTGTTCCATAGCATTCCACTGTATCGATAGGTTACAGTTTGTTTAGCCATTCTTTTACTGAAGGAATTTTAGTTGCGTCCATGTCAAAACAGGACTCATAGGCTAACTAAATGATTTCCTTAGTTTGTAGTATTGGTAAGTGATAGAGATCAGTGACTTAGTGTCTCAGCCGAGTCTGTACAGTGGAAGGTTCTGTGATGATGTACGTTTCCTTTTTATCTGTCTCTTAGCTATATGTATTGATGCACACGTGTCCAATACGTATCCACATTTGGCTAGTGAGCATTCGAGATGTGCCTGGTATGAATTGAAATTTAAATGGCAATTTAAGACTAACACCTCCTCTCTTGGATGGTGCAGGATCAGCTTTATGTACCGATATAACTTATGAGTGGGTACCACATTTGTAGCCAGAGAATACCCAAACTCTCAAGGATAGGACAGTGATTCTGTCTTAACATTTGTATCCCCTGCACCTAGCAGAGCATGGCCAACAGTTGGTGCTCAATAAATGTTCACTGAATCAAAGTCACCAAGGAGGTGTAAGAACTTGTCATTTAGACCCTAGTTAGGATGTATGTCTGTTTTCATATCCCCCTTGATCTTCTCTTCCTTATCCGAATGTTTCCATTAGGGCTTTTTAGCTTTATCCCATAATAATCTTTATCCTATAATAATTATGCAGTATCATGCTGCCAGTTGGCTTGTGGAAAGACCTAGTCTCTGCTGATGTGTTCCTCTTATCTTATTTGTCAATAAGAATGTGGAGAGGATCTAAAATATAACATTCGCTTGGATTTACATTTAAATTAAAACAAAGGCGAGAAGACATTGGAGCGGGGCACTAATTAATGTTGGTGTAGAAAGTGGAATGTCCTTATGCATTTCTGCTAATCCACGGCAGAGACACTTATCTCGTGTTTTCATTGCTTTCCCATAAAATCATAGCTTTTGTTAGTTAAAAAGGGAGAAAAATGAGCTTTTTTTCCCCCCTCTATTTCTTGGGTTATAATTAACTTATAAAATCCTTTTGTGTTATGGAAATGTGTCTGCACTCCACAATTGGGATTTGGGAGGAAGGATGGGGAAGGACTTGATTCAAGCTGTGGTTACTTGGGTCCTAAAATAGACGACTGTGTAGCTGGTAAGCACATTCCTTTTGAATCTTCGACTGGAATATATACAAGGCTGTTTAGTGACAGGAACTGTATTCTACACATTTATCAAAATACCACTCTGCAGAGATAATCTTGTTTATGATAAAACGAGATAAATGTGTAGTAGATGAAGCTTCATTTATTTTGTTAGGGTGAATGCTTTCGAAGCAGTGGGTTTAAAAAAGACTGATAAAAGCTGAGGAATAGGGGGCAGCTGAGGAATTTAAAGCTATTTGTTTTCTGGGATGTCAGAAATCACTTAGTGAAGGCCTAGAGCTCCCGTTCGTACTGCAGACAACTGACGTGGTTTTTAGGGACAGTGTGCTGAGCTACGGAGTCGGTCTTCAAGATGGAGTTTCACTAAGTTGTGTGACTGGGTGTGTTCTCTGCGCCACTTGCAAGACCAAGCGGTTTTCTGAGATTGTCCCCGTGGCGGTCAGGTGAATGACAGAAAGGTGTACTTCCCCAAAGCACTGGAGGGTGTAAAAGGACACGCACCTGGCCAGGATCTGGGGGGGATAGGATGTTCATTAGACTCAGGTCTTGCTTTCTCCAACGAAATCGAGGAAATGAAGGTCCTGGGAAACAGCAGAGAAGCGGTCCAGGATGGTGTCCCATGAGAAGCAGTGGGTCTGGTTTTACCAGGCGCGAGGGAACTAAGTGGCACAGCAGGGTAAAGGGTGTGCCAGTGAGGGGCAACCGTGGGAATGAGAAGTATTTCTTTGAGCT